CCCTACTAAGTTTTTTGTACATATCTCGGAAACTACTATAGCTATGTCAACCAAACTGTATAGAGTCGTTTCTTTTAGGCATTTCCATATACAGTTCAAAAATGGAAGAAATCGGATAATAAMCATGCCCACCTYCTATACAAAGGTTATGTTGAAAATCACTAAAAGTGCGTTAACCGACTAACAAAAAAAGTCAGAAACATTAAATTTTACGGAAGAAATATTAGAAAGAAGCTGCACCCAGGCTTTCTTTAAAAATTTAAAATGGGCGTGGCGTTGCCCGATTTCAATGAAATTCRGTACATAGTAGTTTCCTRACACCCTGATGACATGTACGAAATATGGGTGAAATCGGTTCACAACCACGCGTTCTTCCAATATAACGCTATTTTGAATTCCATCTGATGCCTTCTCTGTATAATATATACATTAGGAACCAATGATGATAGCGGAATAAAACTTTACACAAATACGGTATTTGATGCGAGAGTATAAAATGTTCGGTGACACCCGAAATTAGCCCTTCCTTACTTGTTTATTTTACGAGATGGTCTAAGTCAAGGCTACAATATCTGAAGAAATTTTTTAAATCGGACCACTGTATCACATAGTTGTCATACAAAGTGAACGACAATAATCAAGTTCTTCTACGAAAATTTCTCCATTTGTATTTACACCCATAAGATAATCTTTAGTAAAGTATGTAGGAAKATCTGGCATCATGGTTACACAGCGGTAGTCATGCCAATTTTACTTTACGGTACTCTCGTGTGGTAAACYGCTATGAACAAAATCTCATACAGGAAATCGATGGAGTGGATACTGCGACTCGTTGTTCTCGGCATAACGGGGGCGCTAAGAACCACTCAACCGCTGTACTAGAAATGTTACTCAACCCACCACCAAACGACATTGTAGTGAAAACCTTTAAGGCAAAATCAGCAGAAAGATTCTCTGCAAGAACCAGACATAGCTCAATAAGCAGGAGGTTGGTGGGCAAATTTGACTTCATACTCTCGCGCTTTATTTGGGAGAGAAGGTTTTAGGTCGCACTAAAAGAGGTCATCAGCGGAACTTCCAACTCGGGCTCGGGGCTCGATATTACGCGACCCTTCGAGCTTCCGGAGTAATGTAGGCGGAAGTTGGGAAAGTGGCCGAGGTAGCTGACAACGAAGGAAATAACATAAAAAGGATAAATAAATATATCGATGGATTACGTCAGAGGATGTTCTTAAAAGTCGGGAGGCAGTTGTATATTTACTAGGTTTCAGGCCACAAAGAAATTCCGGAAAGCAAAGCTGCTGATGAGATGAGTCAAAAATGTTATCCGTCCAATAAGAAATACAAAAGTCATTAAAAACGTTATACAATGAAATTACCGAAAAAACTGAAAGTCGGATCAAGGCGAGATGGAATGGCTTTAGTACATGCAGGTGCGAAAAGATCATGTGTAAGGTCCCATTAGGAAAACTCGTAAAATTTTTACTTACGCGGTCTTCAAAGGACTGCCAGACGTCTGCTGACCTCTGAACGGGTCACAAWCGACTGGCATCACATGCGAGCCGGAAGGGCATAAGTAATGACAATACATACTAGAAGTGCAGAAAAGTTGGCATAAAAGAGTTACTGGAACGCGTCACATGCCTCTGCCTAGCGCTATCTAAAACTCGTCTTATGGGTTCGTTTTATGGGTTCATCATATCTGGTTGTCACACTGATGTGATCATCCTGCTTAATTTCTGTTATACATAAAAAGTCTCTGGAGATTGCTGCAGATGCCGGCAACTGCACTTCAAATAGGACAAACACTGATCATCTTAGAAGAAAGTAAACTGCTAAAACTAATATATGGGATWGTTAAAGATATCTGTCATACTTAAGGCGCGACACACAAGAATTCCCCCCGTAAAAAAGCAAGAGTATGAACGCATGGTCGGGTTTACGTTAAAGGAGAAGAGTTTTCGTTGGTCAGTCAATACCTTTCTGTCGTTCAGTATTGGTATTAATCAGATGCGAGACTTCTTAAGCTTAGTGGTCCAAATAAGTTTACAAGAGCAGTCCAATAATTATTACTGGAGAAAGCAATTGCCCTCTATCTGAAAATAAATTTTCTGGAGTTCTTCAAAGTAGACCTTCGAAGCGGCAATAACCTACTTAGGCCAACGACTTTTACTTGTTTAGAAAAGAAAAGMAATCTTTCAGATCCAAAGCTGGAGGATATGGTAAATGGGACATACATTCATAGCTTAGTTCGACTAATTTGATAATTTTGACTAATTCAATGATAATTGCGAAGATATGAAGCTAAAGTGTAGTCATGATGGAAGTACCACATCTAGATGTGTATAAGAGACAGGGTTAACCTAATCTGGTAGGCCGATAAGCCACGCATAGACCGGTTTGATCCTTTGCGATACCAGATGGAGTTCAGTTGCTAAGTCCAAGTGGAATAGTCATCGTTCAGGATGCCCACGCTTGATAAGAATTTTAACAGAATTTGCGGCCTCAATATCGATATCTCCTACAATGTATACATCTAGATGTGTATAAGAGACAGGTTTTGATCCTTTGCGATACCAGATGGAGTTCAGTTGCTAAGTCCAAGTGGAATAGTCATCGTTTAGAATGCCCGCGCTTGGTAAGAATTTTAACAGAATTTGCGGCCTCAATATCGATATCTCCTACAATGTATCATACCGTGGGGACCGCAGACTTCATGGAAAATATTCCAATTTTTAGCCTGTCGGAATTTTTGCAATTATAAATCTGTCTTTCTTAACTGTCAACTCAAAATCTGTGACAAAAGAAGACATCACCTCAAATGTTGAGCTTCAATGATTTATTGGTTTTGTTGTAATTAATAAATAAACTATTAAAAGCGCTCAGCTGCAATAGCTATCACTTGGTATTACATTAAGCAAATGTAATCGACGGCTGGACCTCTTCGTGGGCTCATATATGATAGGTGTGTCATCGTGTTAAACGCCTTAATAGACAACTCACGGCATTGTGAGCCACTCTAATTCAACAAAGAGAAAACTTAAATTACTAACAAGATATTATGGTGTTATGATTGACCCAATTTCCTATAATATGCAGTCTTCAGTTGATTTTCAAGACTTGCTCTTGGATGGAAAAGTGCAAAAAGTAATTGCACAAAAAGAAATATACAACAAAAATGGCAGAAAAGAAAGAAAACCGCACAACGAAAGCCATTGCAATATTGCCGATTGCACATTGCACATTGCAACAATAATGAAACTCCGTCCATGCAATAGCAATGTTAGCTAAAGTAATAGCAACGCTGGCGCTGGTAAAAATCACACAATCTCTACTCGCCGGTTTTTTTCTCGATCTAGTGAAAGTAAAGTGGGACAAATGCAATTATTATTGCATCCAGTAACCGAGATACCACTACAACGTCTAATAGTCAAACTAAGCGCTTCGCTGCTTCCACAGTCGCGGATACCGTCGCCCAGGCCCCACCCCGCCCGCACCATATTTGCACGGCCAGCTTGATCGTTGATTGCGACTGCAAATGCAACTTTTACACAATATCTATATGTATGTTTGTGCCTATTTCACAATATACAAATATATACAAAATAGCAAAGAGAAAATTGCATGCAACATTGAAAAATTGCAAACTTTCTTTTTTCCAAGCATACACTTAGAGATATTGGACGAATTCATGTAAAGCTGACACTTAGCTGGCTCTTATTGACTGGCGTTATGAATGACTGAACGGTTTTCAGCTGGGATTCTCAGTTAACCGAATTGTCCTAAGCGCTCTTTCGATTCACAAGTTCYACGTTACCAAAACTGACAAGGATTTTATCAAGCCCGGGA